AAGCTGATAATCTTTTTTTCACTGACCAAAAATGCCTCGTCCGAATAATAAAACTACAGGCCTCCTGTGTAAATTTAATTAGTAGCTGCAAAACTACAGTTCCGTGGACATTTTGCAAAGATCACCAGAGACTCTTGAGATGAAGCTAAAAGCTGAACATGATTTACAATTACGCAGCCAATATCTTGTGTACGGGAATGAATCCGCCAGCTCTACAGAATTCTCAAAGAGTATAGACCTAAAGCAAACTGTTCTGTATTGTATTCTGCTAAATCAGAAATCTTGACTTTTGATAAATACAAAAACATGCTATTTATGTCTGGATGAACCTGGATTCAAGACTGCATTACGATCACCTGCCATGCTGTCTCCCTAACATTCTACAATCCAGATAATAATAATGGAATCTAAAACTGATAATCTTTTTTTCACTGACCAAAAATGCCTCGTCCGAATAATAAAACTACAGGCCTCCTGTGTAAATTTAATTAGTAGCTGCAAAACTACAGTTCCGTGGACATTTTGCAAAGATCACCAGAGACTCTTGAGATGAAGCTAAAAGCTGAACATGATTTACAATTACGCAGCCAATATCTTGTGTACGGGAATGAAGAAAATTTTAAAGCAAACTTACCAGGCAAGTAGCCTTGTTAATGGTATCTGCATCAAAACCGCCAATATTGGCCTTTTCCAAGATATCCAGCATCACATCCATAAAATCCTGTTCTTGCTTCTCCTTCCCACCCAACAATCTCCTCTGTTTATGCTCTTCCAGCCATCCTCCGGCAAGAATGTCCAGCTCTTTAGCAGTTCTCTTCATGGCTTTCTCGTATCCATTAAAGTCCAACCAACCAAGAAATGGTATTGCATCAGACAGCACAAAAACCCCAAACAAACGAACAAAGTCTCTCATAACCTTTTGATTTCTTCGTGCCTCTGCCTCTTCGCCATCAGCACTTGGTCCAAAATAACGCTTCCCTCCCACCATTCTCAAAACAATATTAAGTGTCAGTTCTCCAAACCATTGCTTCATATCCACCGTAACTCCACTTTCTGCACTGCCTTTGCTGACCCACATCTTATGAAGATCTCTTATAGCAGTCTCTACTTCTGAAGCTCGTATGTGCCTCAGCATATCAATCCGGTGGCTTGACAGAAGCTCAATTGTAGTTATTTTGCGCATCTCACGCCAGTAAGGCCCATAAGGAGCAAAGCCGAACATAGCCAAGTCATAGCCAAGCAGTTTTGAGGCAGCAATGCTTGGTCTACTGGAGAAAGCTCTGTCATGCACGGTGAAACAATCCCTGGCCATTTCCCAACTATTCACAACCAAAACTCTATGTGAACCTAGCTTGATAGTAAACACTGGTCCATACTTATCAGCCATGGCACCCAGTATTTTGTGAGTCAGTTGCTTGCCACCAAAGAGATGCATGTGGCCAATTATTGGCCAGGCACCTCCAGCTTGGGGCGCACTACTGAAGCTTCTTGCCTTACCAGTTGTTGGTCTCTTTAAGCCATAAAAGTAAACAGAGAATAAAAGAGCAAGGAGGGTGGAGAACAAAATCAACAGGAATTGGAGAAGAGAATCCATCACTGTCTAAAGATTTTTACCGGAAAGAGTTTGTGTCTCTGCTGCTCACAGATACTGTTTTGATTTCTTGTTGGTCTTTCCTACTGACGTTTTCCTCGAACAGATAAGAACTCTTGACTACTAGGATTATCATACCACATTATTCCAAATGAGAATGATGGCGACGAGTTCTAAAATTTGATAGTTCGTTATCAGTCAGTTGTGGATTTTTCATCGGTTAATCATGCAGAAAGATTATCAGCTTCGTTTATCAATGAATATTTGAGTGAATTAAATTTAAAGATTCACTAATTCTTTTAACAGTTTGAAAAAAAAAAGAATTTTAATTCTATATAAATTCTATATTTATAATTTTTTTTTTCAAAATCTATAATAGGAAATAAATTAAGATTTATTAACTATTAACCTATCCAATAATATCAATCAAGCACGTAAAAAAGATATTATTATTATTATTAGTATTAATTACAATGGTGATTATATTTATTTTAAAGAAGTTATTACTAAAATACTCTTCTCTTGTAAAAACTTAGAGGATATAAATTTATCATTTTCAAAGATTATTTTAATATAATTTTTGCTTGACAATGAGCTTGATATTATGTTACTTCTAATTTCAACAACATGAAGCATATTTTTTATAGTGAAATGTTTTTGAAAATCATCTTTAATATAACATTTTCAATACCTAGTATCTTAAATATTCATAATTTTTCATGTATAAATAATTATTATCCACTTCTCTATAAATGAAAAATATATATAGTACAAGTATCAACCTATCACTATTCAAAATTGTTAAAAATTGTTAAGTAGGTTGACTTTTGCAACAACAACATGCAAGTTAATTTTCAAAACTTTATTAGTAACGTGATTAATCCTGCTAATATAGGCTTAAGCAATTCTATTTTTTTTAAGTTTTCTTATTAAACTTTGTTTCTGCAATCTTTGTCTAAGTAATATCAGTTTTATTATTGATAAAACATTTACATCGAATTTCTTGACAAATCTCTTCTTTAAAGTAATATTTTTTTTTTTAGTTTTTATTACAAAACTTTATCACTTGTTTTAAAATATTTGTTTTAGAGGCTGTGCTTAAAAGGTTAATTCTTTTTTCATATAATTTATTATATTTTTATATTTTCAATCTTAAAATGAGGGTTTTAACTCTCATTTTCTTGCACTTATTCTTAAATAGTTGAAGTTTTTCTAAACTGATGATAGTTTTTTAATAATTGTAGCTTTTTATAAGGATTCATCTAGAACCATACTTTTAGCATAAATATAATGCATGATGAGTTGAAGCTTTTGAATTTGTTTTTAAGTAAATTATCTTGAAATCTATGAATTTGTCATTTATAAAGTTTTCCATACTAGCATTTTTAGACTTGTATTTCTTTTTCCAAAGTGCATTTGCATTTTTTTTTATTCATATACAAACTACTCCAAGATGTAGTTTTTACATATGAAATGAATTTAATTCCATACATTAATAATTGCTATAATAATGAGATCATAACTATTATTTGATATTTTTGTTGCTTCTTCCGGTAAGAGCTTTTTTAAGTTTAAGATGGTCAAATCAAATAATATTTTATGTTTTCACCATTTAAAATTTAATTAATTGAACTTTTAGATTTCTTATCATGTACTATAAAAGATGGTGGTGGAACCCTTCCTATCAAAATAGTATTTACCGAGGCAATATTGGTTAAGACAACTAATTCTATAGTTCATTTCATGATAATTACTTGTTGTAGGGACAAATTTATCTACAATTTTGGCTTCTTAATGCTAGCATAGAAAATTGTAAAATAATTAGAAAGCTTACCAAATAATTTTTTTTCCAATTAAGAAAGATTAAAACAATTTATATTATTTTATTCCTTTTTAACATGCATCATATCTTTATAATTTTGTACAAAAAATAAATAAAATACATGAAGATATAAAAAGTTTGCAAAGAAGAAGAAGAAGAAGAAGATAGTATAAACTAAACAAAAATACTTTTAAAAGTTTAGATAAAAAAGATATTTGACATACATTGATATTGCATGAATATAGCAACAAATTAACAAAAATACTTTTAAAAGTTTAGATAAAAAAGATATTTGACATACATTGATATTGCATGAATATAGCAACAAATTTAAATATTTAAATTATCAAGTTTAAAACAAAAATATGTAGTAACCTTCTAAAATTAAACTAGAAAACACAAAATTAAATATATAAACTAACCAGGACTAGTCAAAACTAAAGCCTTAATATTGTCATTAAGAAGTTATTAAATGATTAATTAAACTAGTGAGCATGGATTGTTTATTTTATCATTACAAGTGCAGATTAATTAAATTAGTTTTCCAAGAATATGAACATTTAATAATATATACCAATGCAATCTTACAATCACAAGTAAACTTATATAAGGATTGTAGCATGCATACTAAATATATATCCAAATTTACATAAGAGATTTAGACAAAAAAACTTAACATGCATACTAAGCCTATAATATATATTGAGCTTAAACTACAAGCATGTAAAACACTTGTTAAAACTCTTACAATTTAATCAAGCTCAATTTTATTGTTTTTTTATCATAATATAATTTTGACCTTTTTTTTTTTCAAAATATGTTCCAAAAATCTAGCAAAAAAAGCAAAAAAATAATAATTCAAAAAGGGTGTTTTTGATGTATTTACGTTATTTTCATAATTTTCAATGTTTTTAAAAACAAAAATTGAGAAAATTAAAAATTAAAATAAGAGGCAAAATGTATGGAGTTAAAATAGAAAGTAAAAAAAATAAGTGATCAAAATAAAATAAAGTCGCTTCGAGACCAAATAATTAAAAAAAATGACAAAAGTTAAGTGGGTAAAGTTAAAATAAAAGAAACAAGGGACCAAAGTAAAATTGAGTTACTTGAAGACCAAGTAACTAAAAAAATAACAAAATTTATGGGTTATAAATAGATAAATAGATGAATGAATTGTAAAGAAATAGAGGCTACATCTAAAAGACAAATCATCTCTTCATTAAAACCCTAACACCTATAATTTGTTTTTGAGAGGATATGATTTGGAATGTGAAGACATAATACCTAGAAGAACGTTATTCATCTTCTATTGCCTATCTCCTATAAAAAATCCTAGCTTTGTCTTTCTCTCTCTAAACCTAAAATATCTTTCCTCAATTTCTCTCACATTCGACCTCTATTTTTGATGAGACCATTACCATTCTCTTTTTTGTAAAGTCATTTAGAAAACCCATAATTAATTGAAACCAACAAACCTTATATCATCATCAATCAAAAAGAGAGAAAGCCCTAAAAACGTTTCTCTTTGATTTTTCTATCCTTCAACCTTCAAAACCAGCAAGACCACCATCATTCTTCTCCTCTTAAATATTACTACATAGTCATATAAGCTACATAACCTAATAAACATGGTGTGAGTAGAACTAAAAGTTAGAAAATGAATATGTAGAGAGAGAAAAGACCATCATGGCCTTCTAGGGTCAGATTTCCCCAACTAACGAGAAGTGACATACACCTTCATCATAGGAAGAATGATGATTTGATGCACCTTTTGACACCATTCATAGCTAGTCAAATGTTAATGGTGCATGAACTGACATGTTAAACATGATAACTCACTCTTGAAGTGAGACCATCATGCACCCATACTATCTCTCTTAGTCCAACAATGTTTTTCTAGTATTCATCCCTTTTTAGTTCTCCTTAGCCACCTTTAGAAGGTCCATCTTAAACCTTAAATGTCTCTTGAATAAGTATCTTAGTTATTTGATTATTCTAATATGCTTTGTGGTGAGATTTTTCTAGTTTTATCTTTTTTTATCTAAACCTAAAATTTCTTTCCTTAATTTCTCTTATATCTAACCTTTATTTTTGATGAGACCCTTACCATTCTCTTTTTTGTAAAGTCATCTAAAAAACCTAAATTTATTGAAACCAACAAACCCTATATCATCACTAAAAAAAAAGAGAAAGCCCTAAAAACTTTTCTCTTTGATTTCTTTCTACTTCAACCTTCAAACCAAGCAAGACCGCCATCATTCTTCTCCTCTTAAAGATCACTACACAGTCATATAAGCCACATAACCCAATAACCTTAGTGTGAGTAAAACTAAAAGTTAAAAAATGAATACATAGAGAGAGAAAATACCATTTTGGCCTTTTAAGATCATGTATCCCCCACTAATGAAAGGTGACACACTTTCATCATAGAAAGAATGATGACTTGGTGCACCCTTGGATGTCATTCACAACTAGTCAAATATTGGTGGTGCATGGAGTGACGCATTAAACATGATAACTCATTCTTAAAGTGAGGCTGTCACGCACCAACACTATCTTTCTTGGTCCAACAATGTTTTTCCACTATTTCATCCCCTTTTAGTTCTTCTTAGCCACTTTTAGAAGATCCATCTTAAACCTTAAATGTCTCTTGAATAAGTATCTTGTTTATTTAATGATTCTGATGTGTTTTGTTATGAAATTTAGGATTGAACAAATTTTAAAAGATCTATATTTGTGCTTAAATGATGTTGGCTAAATCTTTTAATCTTGCAAGCCCATTCTCATGTGTAAGGATTATATGGAATAACATGCTTAGACATGATTTTATCCTTGTGCACATGTTTATGTTTATTATTTATTGTAATTTTACGCATGCAAAATTTAAGGTCTTATATGTTTATCATACTTTTGATGGAAAATTAACCTTGCTTAATATTCATCTATTTTATTGGTAATTACATTCAAAAAACAAAGAAATTTATCATGATCAAAGTTTTGCATATGGCCAACCCTCTCACATAATATTTTTTTTAAAAAAAATACATTCTTGCATCTTTTTTTTTTAATTTACACATTCTTTGTTAATTGTTGATGTCATTTTGGCTTTTTTTACATTTGCATTTAAAAAAGAAAAAGCTAAATATATTTTTATTTTTGCATGCATCCATTTTAGGTTTTATAATTTGTTTATAAAGCTCATCGAGGCTTAACCCAAATTAAAAGACTTTTGAAAAGCTGACATTCCAAAAATTTATCCCCCTTTTAAACTGATGATGAATGAAAATTATGTTATTCACTTATGATATTTGAGATAATACTTATAGTGAGCTGTTATTTTGAATATCAATGGGGAGTAACACCTCTGCTTCTTCATTTTAAAATATACTCTCATTTGAAATTTTCTTTTTAGTTTAATATTCACTA